GGGATAAACTCCGGCCTGGTGGGCCACTTGGCTCGTATGCAGACTCTACCTCTCTTACCTTGCCTATATCTGAGATTGAGTGATTTTAGCTTAAAACTTTTCTTGACTAACAGTTAATGATTATTCCATTTGCTTTTACATTTATTTTCAGGAAGCCTTGCAACATCCTGTGGTTAGAATGCTGATAAAAACAAAATGGCAGAGTTATGGGCACTGGTTTCTATGGTATGTTAACCTATCCCACACTAGATCAGACACATTATGCAACCTTGATCCCAGGCTCTCTCCGAGGAAAAGGAGAGGGAGCCTGGCATTTAGCTTGGACATTATCGTGGTACAGCACAATAAATTATTATGCAATCAGGTTGGTGAAGACACTAGACTCAGGAATCGTACTATTAGCTAGCTCTTATAATAAAAAACCATAAAATGATAGCCTGGTTTCCTTGAAATTAAAAATCACTTATATATAAATACTAGTTCACTGAAGTTGTTATTGAGAATTGTTGACTGTTTAAATAAGTATAGGACTTTTCACATTCTTTCATTATGTCCTGTAAAAATTGCTACTAAGGTCTTTTTGCAGTTTGCTTTACTTTCAACAGTCTAAGTAATATCTTCATTTTGGTCTGTTAGTGTTTTCTAATTTAATGTAATCTCGTTTTGATCCCAAATACTGAACAATCCTTGAAGCAAGATTTCATTCAGTTGTCCTCTACCAGCACCAAGCCAGCAATTTTTCACTCCTAAAAGGTAGCGCCTAACGACAATTACCCCTGCCACTTTTAAGTGTTTTTCTTTAATTTATTTCTTCTACAGCCTTCAAGCCGGACTTTATGTGATTTTCTTGCTCCTCTTGTCATATTCTCTAATGTACGGCTCAACTAGACTGGACCCCACACTTTACAATGGTACTGCTGACTTACTGCGTGGCGTCTGTGAAATTTTAACCCTTGTTATGGCCCTCCTTTACATCTGCGAAGAAATCAATCAAATAAGAAGGTAAGTTATGGGGAAATCTTGCGTGTGCCCGAAAACCTGCTTAACATCGACAGGCAATACTGGTGCCAATTTGAAAGGGTGTTTTTTAGACTGAAATGAATTGGCTACACCATCAACTAACGGACTCTTCATTTTGAAGATGACTTTCGTTCAGTTTGTCGAAACTTCAGTCAGCAACAAATTAGTAAAAGTTGTTTTCAGAGGGCGTGGCGTAGATGGCAAAACGAGGAAATGACACTACGGTTAGCCTTAATACTTAGATAGCACCCAAGTTAGCCTCAGTGCTATTGACTCGACATTAGTAATGAGCGTATTAATTGCAAGGGTAACCCTACAGACACCCGTTAAAGAGTAGGGCACGGAGTTGCCAGTGTTGTTGTGTGGCCTCGTCTCATGAGCTGGTGCTTCACATAGGGTCAACCTCATTGCGCCTTTCCCTCTTGGACAGAATTGTCCAAGAAAAATTATTGCCAAAAAATTGCTATGCTACTGGGGGTATCCCACTTTGACTCATACCCGTTCCATTTCTTCATTCAGTTAAACACGCCCGTTTTCAATTACTTGTACCGTCACCCTGGCGAAGGCAGAAGGCACTAAACGAATTACCAACACCGTCGGATTCAAAGCATTTTCTAAACGTTACCAGTATCTCCCATTTTGTCTTCTCTCTTCCAGAGAAAGGCATTTGTACTTCAAAGAGTGGATGAACCTGTTTGACTGTTTAGGCCTGCTTCTAATCCTCTGCATAATTCCATTACGGTACTCTGATAGCAAGGCGCAGTGGATGGTGGCATCGCTAGCTTTCCTGTTCAATTGGTTGAGGATATTTAAGTTTTCTTGTGTGACAAGGTAATCTGAAAACTTATTGCAGCCTGTGTGTGCCTGGTTTGGCCATCTTGAGGAAGTCATCTTAAATTCAAATATTTTTGCTTGGCTCGTTGTGGAAACCAGTTGCGCTTCTGTTGAAACCTGAGTAAAATTCCCCTGTCTACTACTCTTGACAGACTGCCATCAGTTCTTTCTATACATTTCTTTCAGCGCCTGCTAGTTTGTTCGCTCGCTTGCTCGATCTTCCCGCCATGAAAATGGAAAGGAGACTTCTGTTACGCAGGCTAAATTTCTTTCAGTTTTTAGGGACAGTTATTTTCAACTTCTTATATGTCAAGCTACAGTATTTTCTCCCTTTGCTCTCGCTGTACCCCTCTCTTAACGATCTTTGATTGTAATTAAACGAATTTAGACTAATTATATTAGCTCCTTTCTCTAATCAATGTTTTCCTGTATTTGTAGGACCACAGGATTATACACAAAAACCTTGGCTAAGATTATTAGACAAGACGTGACAAGATTCATGGTAGTTTTTGCTGTGGTTTTTCTCTCCTTTTGTGGTTCGTTGTNTCTCACATCGCAAAACTTGCAAATGGCTGACCGTGTTTGAAATCGCCCTATAATGTATTGCAAACCCTTGATCATTGACCACATCATGTGTGCCTAAGGATTGTTCTCTTGTAATGCACGGATCCTTCATACTAGTATCTGATTCAAAAGTAACTTTATTGAGTAGAAACACTTCAAAAAGCACTTACTATTAAATTTTATCGTAGATCCTAATAAGCTGCTTTATTTTTCTTGGTACCCTGATGCATTTTTTCCTTCTGTAGCTTTCAAATTATTGGCCCCTTTCCTAAAAAAGTGGCCCCTAAAAAAGATCTTCAGGGGCCAATTAATGGCCCTCAAGTAAAATTTTCTGGCTGAAACACTGAACTAGCATGAGCTGTTGACGTAATGATGGTGCAGGCAAAGAGAATTTACATTTGATAATCAAAGTTAACAAGTTGTTTTCCTTTTTTCACCGCGGTGTTTTCTAAGAGAAATAGAAAACATGTTCTCCATGTTTCTGTCAAGTTATAGAAACACTCATGAAAGTTTGGGAGAACTCGAAAAAGCTGAAGCAGCATTTCTCGTTCTCCCAAACTTCCACTTGTGTTTCTATAACTTGATAGAAACACAGTAAATATTTTCTATCTCTTAAATGGTTTTTTTATAGCACCTATCCAAGCGTGATCTAGGCGCTTTACAAGTTATAAAATATGATTAAAATAGAATAATTTATTAAAAATAAAATTAACCAAGAATCAATAAAAGTATTCCAAAAAGACTTTCTTAAATAAATGAGTTTAAGCCAAGTTTTGAAAATTTGAAGGTCTGATTTTCTGATATATATTGGCGAGTCACTCCAGAGTTGTGGTGAGGCGACAGCAAAAGCTGTAGGTCCATAAGTCTCCAAGTTATAACTGGTGCAGTTAAGACAGAGAGATGTAGGGGAACGGAGAGTTCTTGAAGGACGGTGGAGGCCTATCAATTCTTACAATACAATACAATACAATACAATACAGTACAATACAATACAGTACAATACAATACAATACAATACAGTACAATACAATACAATACAATACTTTATTTAACCATGCGACACCTAAGAGCGCAAGCGCTCATTAAAACGTGTGTGTGAACTCAAAATTGTATAAAAGAAGAAAAAGAAGAAATAGGATTATATAATCTGTGTAAAAATGTAATATACAATAGATGCCTAAAAATAGTTACGTACAAATATAATAAGAAACGAGTTATATAAACCTAAAATAATTACCTAGTAATCGTTTAAAAGTTAAAAGACTGTTAGCGTCCCTTACAGATGGAGGTATTGAGTTCCAAATCCTGGCGGCTATAAAGGAAAAGGACTTATGCTGCCATTCCAAATTGCATCTAGGCAACTGCAAAATTGTACCAGACCCCCTCAGTTCTTACCCTCAGTCTGCAGTCCACAGTTTGTGTTTTACACTGACTGTAAGACTTACTTTCCTCACAATTGCCAAATAGCATCTACACCCTTGGGGTCTGACAGACCCAACATTGAGTTTGAATGCTTGATTTCCCCAGTGGGTAGCACATAATCTGGAGTTTAGTTCTAATCTTCCATGTTGACAACACATTTGTATCATACTTTGATTCAACTCAGTTGTTCATATATTTTTTTTCCATCAGAGTCCAGAGTTTGTTTTCATGGAGGCCAGGTGATATGTCAAGTCCTGAACCATCTTTCTTTAGCTTCAAGTCAGTAATTGACAATTCCAAAATGAAGGTGAGAATATATTTTATATGGCCAAAGGGTGATAAAAGGAAGCAAAACCATTACCTGAGTGTGTAATCAGACTAACCTTCACCAGACGAAAGGGGGGAGAGTGATCATTAGGGGATATAATCAAATAAAGTAAAATAAAAAGACAGGTTTGCAGCAGAAATGGACAGTCAAAAATCATTTACTAATTAATGACTTTGCCATTACTGTGGTAATATTTACTATATTTAGTAACTGTCATTGTTGTAAATTTGCAAAATGTTTTCAGAAATCAGTAGCTGCCATATTAGATCAGATGGTGAACCCACATTGGCCACACCTACCAAAGCGCAAAGACAGCTATGACAATCAAGAAGAAAAGGAGGGAATTGAAGGTGCATGGAGCACCATCCCTGACAATCCATTCAGCTATTACTTTTATTACCACATCCTGGATGGTGACGAGGCAGGCCGACCTCCTAAAGTTATGGTCTCAGAGGGAAACAAGCTGACAGATAACGAATATTTTAATTGGGCTGATAAGTCTTGTTTACATCTTATTGCAAAAAGCAATAATAAGGTGAGGTAACATTAAAAAATCTTTATCTTTCATTATAGTGGAGCTCCTGCGTGCAAAAGGCTCTCAAGCAGAGCCCCATACCTTAGAAAATTTGGTAACCTATCAATCTGAAAAATTTTGGTTGTCACGTGACTGTCTCTATGTACGCCCGTCTGTCCGTCTGTTAGTACATCCATATGCAAAACCCCAATGCCCCATACCTTGAAAAATAAGAGAGGAGCATTATTATCATCTTTGACATTGGGCATCCATGTTATAATTGACAGCTGTCAAAACAAGGTATCTGCTGACCAGTATCATGTGACCATATTGCAGGCTTAGGTCAAAAGCTCATTGAGATTGCGGGTTTTTTAAGTTGACTGCTGACCAGGTACTGGGTTTTCGATCGGATTGCAGGCTCAAGTCAGGTTATTACCCTGGGGGAGAGGGCCGGGGTACATGCAAAGGCAAAATTTCAGCACAAATTGAACCCTGACGTGTTGTTGACTTTTCTTCTGACATATTCCTTGCACAATTGTCTCTCGGAAAGTCCCTGATATATTCCGTGCAAAATTTCTACAATCTTGGGTACACTCATTACCGGTAGGTATGGTTTGTTAAAATGTAACTAGAAAAAATAGTGGAATCACACACTGAACAATTACATGCTCACGATTGATAATTTTTTGAGTTTCTGATCCAGGGGAAAAGATCCTCTTTTCATTTATGGTTAATTATTTAATCAGGAGCTACGCTTTTAGGCTTGGGTAAATATATATATATTAGTGTGATAATCTTTACAGAATTACAGTACCACTAAAGTTTTTGGGGAAAAGACCTTGTGGTTGCTAAAGAATTATTTTACAAATTCACCACAATGGGATTTCTGAACCTCATTTTGGAGAAATGTGACCCCACAAACACTTCATCCTTGCGAGGTGTGAGAGAGTATCAGTCTGCAAATCAGCCAAGCCAAAATGGAATTATCAAAATGATGGCTTTTGGATGTGTTCATATCTGAGATTGAGTGATTCTAGCTAAAAACTTTACTTGACTAACAGTTGATTTATTCTATTTGCTTTTACATGTATTTTCAGGAAGCCTTGCAACATCCTGTGGTTAGAATGCTGATAAAAACAAAATGGCAGAGTTATGGACACTGGTTTCTATGGTATGTTAACCTATCCCACACTAAATCACACACCTAATCCAACCTTGATCCCAGGCTCTCTCTGAGGAAAAGGAGAGAGAGCCTGGGATTTAGGTTGGACATTATTATGGTACAGCACAATAAATTGTTAATATGCAATCAAGTTAGTGAAGACACTAGACTCAGGAATCTTACTATCATGTACTATCATGTACATGTAGCAAGTTCTTATGAGCCAAAAAGCCAAAAGCTCTTATAAGTACCATAAAATGATAGCCTGGTTTCCTTGAAAATAATAAAATCACTGTTATATATAAATACTAGTTCACTGAAGTTGTTATTGAGAAGTTTTGACTGTTTGAATATTAGTACAGGTAGTTCAGATTCTTCTTCAGGTAGTTCATTCTTCCCGTATGTCTTGTAAAAATTGCTACTAAGGTCTTTTTACAGTTTGCTCCCCCTTCAACAGTTTAAGTAATATCTTCATATTAGTCTGTTAGTGTCTTCTAACGTGAATTTCATGTAGGATCGTTTTGATCCCAAATACTGAGCAATCCTTGAAGCAAGATTTTATTGAGTTGCCCTCTACTGGCACCAAGCCACAAATTTTTCACTCCTAAAAGGTATTGTCTAATTACAATTGCCCCTACCACTTTTAAGTGTTTATCTTTAATTTATTTCTTCCACAGCCTTCAAGCCGGATTTTATGTGATTTTCTTGCTCCTCTTGTTATATTCTCTAATGTACGGCTCAACAAGACTGGACCCCACACTTTACAAGGGTGCTGCTGACTCACTGCGTGGCTTCTGTGAAATTTTAACCCTTGTTATGGCCCTCCTTTACATTTGCGAAGAAATCAATCAAATAAGAAGGTAAGTTATGGGGTTAACCTTGCGTGTGCCTGAAAACCTGCTTAAAATCGAAAGGGAATACTGGTGCCAATTTGAAACGATTTTTTTTTTAGACTGAAATGAATTGGCTACACCATCAACTAACAGACACTTGATTCTGAAGATGACTTTCGTTCAGTTTGTGGAAACTTTAGTCAGCAACAAATTAATAAAAGTTGTTTTCAGAGGGCATGGCGCAGATGGCAAAATGAGGAAATGCTTCTACGGTAGCCTTAATAGCGCTACGGTTAACTTAGATAACACCCAAGTTAGCCTCAGTGCTATTGACTTGACATTGTTAAGCGTATGAATTGTAAGGGTAACCCAACAGACACCTGTTAAAGAGTAGGGCACGTAGTTCCCGGTGTTCTGGTCTGACCTTGTCTGACGGGTTGGTGCTTCACATAGGGTTAACCTCATTGCGCCTTTCCCTCTTGGACAAGATTGTCCAAGAAAAATTACTGCTGAAAAACTGCTTTGCCACTAGGGGTATCCCACTTTGACTCCTACCTGGTTCATTTCTTTATTCAGTTAAACAAGCCCGTTTTCAAAACTACTTGTACCGTCACCCTGGCGATGGCACTATTAAAACAAACTACCAACACCATTGGATTCAAAGCATTTTCTAAACGTTGCCAGTATCTCCCATTTTGTCTTCTGTCTTCCAGAGAAAGGCACTTGTACTTCAAAGAGTGGATGAACCTGTTTGACTGTTTAGGCCTGCTTCTAATCTTCTGCATAATTCCATTACGATACTCTGATAGCAAGGCGCAGTGGATGGTGGCATCGTTAGCTTTCCTCTTCAACTGCTTGAGGATATTTAAGTTTTCTTGCGTGACAAGGTAATCTGAAAACTAACTTTTGCCTGTTTGTGCCTGGTTTGACCATCTTGAGGAACTCATCTTAAAATAAAGAAGTTTAGTTCAAATATTTTTGCTTGCCTCGTTGTGGAAACCAGTTGCACTTCTGTTGAAAACCTGAGTGAAATTCCCCAGTCTACTAATCTTGACAGACTGCCACCAGTTATTTCTATACATTTCTTTTAGCGCCTGCATAGCAGGCATTCCTCTCCAAAACCTTGCGAAGGGAATGAATTTTAAAAACTGCGAGCGCGTGCGAAAAACTAGGAAAAATAAGGAGCAGTGGCAAGGGGTAGGGCAAAAAAATGAATCTTTTCTTCCACTGCCGCTTCTCCTCCTCATTTCTGCCCAGCGCTCCCTACCCCTTCACTTCTTCTCATTTTTTTCTCACCCCAAGCGCGCTCGTTTGCTCGCTTGCTTGCTCGATGTTCTCGCCTGGGAAATGGAAAGGAAACGTCGTCTGTTGCGCAAGCTACGTGTCTTTCAGTTTTTAGGGACAGGTATTTTTTTTACTTTTCATATGTCAAGCTAGAGTATTTTCTCCCTTTTCTCTCTCTGTACTTCTCACTCGACGATCTTTGATTGTAATTGAACGAACTTAGACTAATTACGTAAGCTCATTTTTCTAATCAGTGTTTTCCTGTATTTGTAGGACCACGGGATTATACACAAAAACCTTGGCGAAGATTATTAGACAAGACGTGTCAAGATTCATGGTAGTTTTTGCTGTGGTTTTTCTCTCCTTTTGTGGTTCGTTGTTCTTGTCTCTTCGTTTTTCCAAGCAAAGCCAACAATTTAGGTGCGTGTTATTAATGCGCTTATGAAACTTCTTTAGTACAGCTTGTTTAAGGTGGCTCAAAACAGTAACATTTCCGTGAGACGCCTGGGCTCTAACGCGCACTTCAGCGCGAGGCATCACGCGATCAACCGTGGTGTCGCGAGATAGCGCACGAGATTCAAAGTTTGCAAAACTCAAAACAAACATGGCGGCGCGAGGCCTAATTCGTAACACGTTGTTTCCGCCAAGTTTAGTAAGTTTTCTTTGCGATATCAGTGTTTTTTTTTTACCTTCGAAAACATCCATCGTTCAGGCATTTTCAAAGGGAAACCATTCTTTTTCATCGCTTTGTCGGAACATAAAAGAAAATTGTGATGTTGATGTTGCGATCGATCGCGCTAGCTATTACTCCAAAAAACAGCAGGGAAAAAATTACTCTTCAGGTCTTCTTCGTTCTTTTTTCTTGGCCAGTCTCACCTTCGGGAATTTATGGTTCTCTTCTTCTACCGCTTATGCTGCTAACAACAACAGCAAGGAAGAAAAAACTATTCGCGTTTATTCGCGTGAAATTGCGGGCTTTACTGATCAGCGGACCGCCTTTACGCATGCGCAAGAGGCGATCTTGCAACGTCGAGATTTTAGTTTGCGCGTAGAACGTGGCCGAAAAATTCCTCATCCACGACGCTAATATCTCAAAAACTGATCCGGTGACCCT